AAAATGAATACTGCTGACTGGAGACCAGGGGTAAAATGCAGACTGAGAGTAAAATAAATATTGCGGACTGCAGACCAGGGGTAAAATGCAGACTGAGAGTAAAATGAATACTGCGGACTGCAGACCAGGGGTAAAATGCAGACTGAGGGTAAAATGAATACTGCTGACTGCAGACCAGGGGTAAAATGAAGACTGAGAGTAAAATGAATACTGCGGACAGCAGACCAGGGGTAAAATACAGACTGACGGTAAAATGAATACTGCGGACTGCAGACCAAGGGCAAAATGCAGTCTGAGAGTAAAATGAATACAGCGGACTGCAGACCAGGGGTAAAATGGAGACTGAGGGTAAAATGAATACTGCGGACTGCAGACCAGGGGTAAAGTGGAGACTGAGACTAAAATGAATACTGCGGACTGCAGACCAGGGGTAAAATGCACACTGAGGGTAAAATGCAGACTGCGGACTGCAGACCAGGGGTAAAATGCAGACTGAGGATAAAATGAATACAGCGTACTGCAGACCAGGGTAAAATGCAGACTGAGAGTAAAATGAATACTGCGGACTGCAGACCAGGGGTAAAATGCAGACTGAGAGTAAAATGAATACTGTGGACTGCAGACCAGGGGTATAATGCAGATTGAGGGTAAAATGAATACAGCGGACTGCAGACCAGGGGTAAAATGCAGACTGAGAGTAAAATGAATACTGCGGACTGCAGACCAGGGGTAAAATGCAGACTGAGGGTAAAATGAATACTGCGGACTGCAGACCAGGGGTAAAATGCAGACTGAGGGTAAAATGAATACTGCGGACTGCAGACCAGGGGTAAAATGCAGACTGAGGGTAAAATGAATACTGCGGACTGCAGACCAGGGGTAAAATGCAGACTGAGGGTAAAATGAATACTGCGGACTGCAGACCAGGGGTAAAATGCAGACTGAGAGTAAAATGAATACTGCGGACTGCAGACCAGGGGTAAAATGCAGACTGAGGGTAAAATGAATACTGCGGACTGCAGACCAGGGGTAAAATGCAGACTGAGGGTAAAATGAATACTGCGGACTGCAGACCAGGGGTAAAATGCAGACTGAGGGTAAAATGAATACTGCGGACTGCAGACCAGGGGTAAAATGCAGACTGAGGGTAAAATGAATACTGCGGNTCCGCGTCCACTTCTGACATAGTGTCTGCCTATGGGAATGTGTAAATACAGAGTTTGACCCAGAGAAAGAAACTGAAATCGTAAAAAAAAAGGGGTGTTGGTGAGTAGAATTGTATGCTTACGAGGGTGTCTGTTAGTTGAGAGTTAACTGTTTTTAGTAATGAGAACCATTAACAACTGTATTAATGAGGTGCTTGACACCGCCAAGTAAAAAGTATGTAACTTAAAACAGTTGAAAATTAAATGACAATAACTTTTTTCGTTGTATTAGAACACAAAGGTGTGTCTATGGTTAACTGAAGTAATAGTTAGTACAGTATTTCTAACCAAGTGTGAACATATGTAAAGAATTCACCCAAAGGGCTCGTTATTTACATGAGATCTAACCCAAACCATATTGGTTCACATATTAATCAGTGGGCCTCTGGGATTCTCTGTAAAAAGTCTAAAAGGGTTGATTCAAAAAACAATTTTACTTCCACTATTAGCTGTCTGTGATTTTGACATTGCTCACAAAAATAAGTGTGTAGAAAAAGGTTTGGGTAAATTCAAAGTAGTATGACAGGTACCGAGTTAGCCTAGCTGCTCCCTCCCCTTTTAAAGATGCCCACCAACAAAAGTTCGAGAAAATGTGACGTCACACCCCCTTAACCCCTCGATTTACCCCTAAATGAGGTAAAATGGATCGCCCCTCTCACCCTTCCGACTAACCCTAAAAGGCTTACCCCTACCCTAACCGGATAACCCTAACCCTAAACTGCTAAGCCTAAGCCCTAATAGGCCTAACCCTAAGCCTAAGCCCTAGAGGGGGGACCCTGGGCCACGCGCACTTAGCTGACCTTGGGCACGCGCGCCTAAAACCCTAAAAAGTTGGGGGTGTATATCTGGCGTGCTCGTGCCTAAAACCCTAAAAAGCGGGGGGTGTATATCTGGCCTTTGCATGCTTAAAACCCCAAAAAGCGTGGGAGCATCTGGTGTGCGCCACTCACCTTCACCTTGAGTGCCTGCACGGTGGCACTAAAAGTTTGTCTGGTCATCCAACAATAATTCTTATATCGTAGTCATCAGAAAAATGTGTTTCATTCAAGAGCATAAAACAAAGCAACTAGACAGGAACCTGGCTCCTTTAAAGGTTTACATCCTCTTCATGATGTACACAACAACACGAATTATAATAATGTTAATAACGATTTTATTGACAGCATTTCCACGAGGTGGCTCTTCATTCGTTAATATCTAACTTAAGTTAATTACAATAAAATAAACTTAGAAAAGACTAAATTAAGAACGCTAAGTAATTGATATTTATAATGAAAAATTATAACCTGGACCTGGCTTTATCTTATAACAATTTCTTTGTCTCCTTAAAATATAAAATTGGGTCAACACAGTTTCTTAAGGAAAGGGGAAGGTTCACCTACCTAGTTTCAACAAGCTAAGACTTGTTTGCGGTGCTGCACTTCTTTGAAACGACTGATAATTACAAGGAAAATAATTTTGCGTAACACAGCCAAACTGCGATCGATGGTGGTCAAAATGAATTAGTTTTGAACATACCCTGGAAAACTGGGGAACGATAGCCCTACAGAAGGCGATGAGACGGCATAATTGTGCTAAGACGTGCGAGATATCGCGCGCGTTTGTATGTTCCTCTCGCGTGACTAACCCTGAGCTGTGTGGTTATGGTAATCGCCAATTCAGAAACCTATTTTGAAACCGGTCAGTGTAAAACGGAGACTGCGGACTGCAGACCAGGGGTAAAATCCAGACTGAGGGTAAAATGAATACTGCGGACTGCAGACCAGGGGTAAAATGCAGACTGAGGGTAAAATGAATACTGCGGACTGCAGACCAGGGGTAAAATGCAGACTGAGGGTAAAATGAATACTGCGGACTGCAGACCAGGGGTAAAATGCAGACTGAGGGTAAAATGAATACTGCGGACTGCAGACCAGGGGTAAAATGCAGACTGAGGGTAAAATGAATACTGCGGACTGCAGACCAGGGGTAAAATGCAGACTGAGGGTAAAATGAATACTGCGGAGTGCAGACCAGGGGTAAAATGCAGACTGAGGGTAAAATGAATACTGCGGACTGCAGACCAGGGGTAAAATGCAGACTGAGGGTAAAATGAATACTGCGGACTGCAGACCAGGGGTAAAATGCAGACTGAGGGTAAAATGAATACTGCGGACTGCAGACCAGGGGTAAAATGCAGACTGAGGGTAAAATGAATACTGCGGACTGCAGACCAGGGGTAAAATGCAGACTGAGGGTAAAATGAATACTGCGGACTGCAGACCAGGGGTAAAATGCAGACTGAGGGTAAAATGAATACTGCGGACTGCAGACCAGGGGTAAAATGCAGACTGAGGGTAAAATGAATACTGCGGACTGCAGACCAGGGGTAAAATGCAGACTGAGGGTAAAATGAATACTGCGGACTGCAGACCAGGGGTAAAATGCAGACTGAGGGTAAAATGAATACTGCGGACTGCAGACCAGGGGTAAAATGCAGACTGAGGGTAAA